GTGGTAAAACAGAATCTGGTTGGGCCCCCTCAGGGATGGGGGGTGTGGGTGGGGGGGGGGGATTCGGCGTGTTGTGGACACGGGAGATACGAGACGTTCGGGGGATTGGCCCTCTCAGGTTGTTGTGTAATGATGAATGTAGATTGCGTGTTACCGCCAATCTGTGGTCAGAACTTGACCTTCATGACGTCACGCCCCATGGCAATATTACTATCATATTTCATCCTCATGTGTACAGACCAGATAGGAGGGAGGCTTCCCATGGGGTCCTAAGCACAGGATGGGCCCCCGGAGCCCATAGCTGGGAGGTAGATGGGGTCTGCGCGCAGGTGGTCATTTTGTGTCATGACATCATCAGATCTTTCTACCATCAAGTGTCACACCCCCCTGGGGGCCCTAAAAGTCAGGATCCATAATGAAGGGAATGGTGCCCAATGGTGTATGGAGGTAATTGGATGGAGTGAGTGGAGGCCATGAATAGAGGTAATTGGATGGAGTGGATGGAGTGGATGGAGGCCATGAATAGAGGTAATTGGATGGAGTGGGTGGAGTCAATGAATCAAGGTGATTGGATGGAGTCAATAAATGGAGGTGATTGGAGGGAGTCAATAAATGGAGTGATTGGATGGAGTGGATGGAGTCAATAAATGGAGGTGATTGGATGGAGTGGATGGAGTCAATAAATGGAGGGGAGTGGGTGGAGTCAATAAATGGAGGTGATTGGAGGGAGTCAATAAATGGAGGTGATTGGAGGGAGTCAATAAATGGAGTGATTGGATGGAGTGGATGGAGTGGATGGAGGCCATGAATAGAGGTAATTGGATGGAATGGGTGGAGGCCATGAATAGAGGTAATTGGATGGAGTGGGTGGAGTCAATGAATCAAGGTGATTGGATGGAGTCAATAAATGGAGGTGATTGGAGGGAGTCAATAAATGGAGTGATTGGATGGAGTGGATGGAGTCAATAAATGGAGGTGATTGGATGGAGTGGATGGAGTCAATAAATGGAGGTGATTGGATGGAGTGGATGGAGTCAATTAATGGAGGGGAGTGGGTGGAGTCAATTAATGGAGGTGAATGGATGGAGTGGGTGAAGGCCATGAATCGAGGTGATTGAATGGAGTAATTGGAGACCATAAATGGAGTGATTGGACGGAGTGGGTAGAGTCAATGAATGGAGGTGATTGGATGGAGTGGATAGAGTCAATAAATGGAGGTGGTTGGACGGAGTGGAGTCGGTGGAGGTCATGGATGGAGGTGGTTGGATGGAGTGGGTGGAGGTCATGGATGGAGGTGGTTGGATGGAGTGGGTGGAGGTCATGGATGACAGTGATTGGACGAAGTGGGTGGAAGTCATGGATGGAGGTGATTGGTGATTGGACGGAGTGGGTGGAGGTCATGGATGGAGGTTATTGGACAGAGTGGGTGGAGGTCATGGATGACGGTGATTGGACGAAGTGGGTGGAGGTCATGGATGGAGGTGATTGGTGATTGGACGGAGTGGGTGGAGGTCATGGATGGAGGTTATTGGACGGAGTGGGTGGAGGTCATGGATGGAGGTGGTTGGATGGAGTGGGTGGAGGTCATGGATGGAGGTGATTGGACGGAGTGGGTGGAGGTCATGGATGGAGGTGGTTGGATGGAGTGGGTGGAGGTCATGGATGGAGGTGGTTGGATGGAGTGGGTGGAGGTCATGGATGACGGTGATTGGACGAAGTGGGTGGAGGTCATGGATGGAGGTGATTGCTGATTGGACGAAGTGGGTGGAGGTCATGGATGGAGGTGATTGGTGATTGGACGGAGTGGGTGGAGGTCATGGATGGAGGTACAATCCGGATGTTCTACAATTGTGCAAAAAAATTGGTTAAATTGACCAGCAGAAATCTTCACAGGTGTTGACAGCCGGTTATTACCGAGGATTGGTGAAAAGAAAGACTGGTGGTTACTGGGGTTCATGGTGGATGTGGTTGGTGTGGTTGGTATGTGATTGGTTGGGGTTGGTGGATGGAGTTGGTGGTGATTGGTTGGGGTGGGTGGTGATTGGATGGGGTTGGTGGTGATTGGATGGGGTTGGTGGATGGAGTTGGTGGTGATTGGTTGGGGTGGGTGGTGATTGGATGGGGTTGGTGGTGATTGGATGGGGTTGGTGGTGATTGGATGGGGTTAGTGGTGATTGGGGTTGGTGGTCATTGGTTGGGGTTGGTGGTGATTGATTGGGGTTGGTAGTGATTGGTTGGGGTTGGTGGTGATTGGTTGGTGGCGATT